GGGGGGGGGGGGGGGGGGGGGGGGGGGGGGGGGGGGGGTGGAGGCGGGCGCGAGTACGAGGAAGTCCCCGTGCCTGATGCTCCGCCGTACAAGGTGAGAGATAGATAGCTGTTCGATGTCATTCTTAAACCACAGTAGTACTGTTTTGGATCTGTTTTGGCACAGTATCCATGTTCGGTTGTCGAGGGGTGCGGTTTCGAAGCGCATCAAGCTCGAACGACCGGGATTTGGAGTTGTGAACAGTCTCGCATCGATCTCTTCGATGGTCGTTTATGTGGAGGTGTCACCCTTGCGCAACGGCTGTGGGTAGATCATGCTGTGATTTGATTTTTATTTTTTTTGTTGTGGTGTCGGCCCTTACCATCACAACACAACAGGCGCTAGTGGGCAACTTGCCGTACAGCGCACACGAGAACGATATCGCCGACTTTTTCCACCAGTGCCGAGTGGACGACGTCTATCTCGTCAAGGATCGCACAACGGGTCAGGCCAAGGTGAGGAGGCATTGCATGTCGCCACTTTTTATTTTCGACTGTAGGCGCGTCGTTCACCAGACGCGGTGATAAAGATGAAGGTTGTCCCATGTTTTCAGACTGCAGTAGACCACAAGACGTTAGCCACGGCCCTTCCTTTTGTTTTGATTGGGGATGAATCGTAGTTGGCGCCCACTCGCCATGCCAGGGCTGCTCATAGATGATGTGTCACGGTAATACAATTCATGACAAGAAATGGATAGCGTTTCGTATCACATGTGGAACAGCACAGCAGCAAACTGCGATATTGTAGAAGTTGCGCACGGAGGTGTACTCAACTGGCGTGCTAGATCGAACTGCCTAGCGTTACCCGAGACCTAGCCTCAGGTGTCCATTCAGGTTTCGGTCCCATGTCGCGTAGACGCTATTTTGTCGTTTTTGTCATTTTTATCATCCTGCTCACGATGTGTGTGATGTCGAAAACAAATCTCACAATCTGAACAAAAGATAACGTGAAAAGAAAAAATTGCACACTGATGCGTCGCGAGCATGACCGACTTTGTTCATCTTTGTTCATATTTCGAGCTGGCCTGAGGGTGTGGGAGATTTGTCGAAAAATAACACCTGCCCTTTTTTCTTCCTTGTTTTCCTGTTGGAGCTCGTTGTGAGGGGACTCTCGACCGATGCGTGTGATGTGTATTTCACATACAAATCTCACTCTGAATAATCAGTGACCAGACAACCTAGCACACTGATGCATCGTGTTGGGGTCAATTCCTTTCAAGTTCTGTCAGCTCTGAATTGTAGCCTCGACAGGGAGAAGCAGGCCATGACACGGAATGACTTGCCTTGATGGAAATCTCATGTTGCCGTTGGTGTGAGTGTTGCTTGTGTGCTATGTACCTGGTTTGTGTTATTATGGCTAAGTGTTTTGCTTTCTGGTTGCTTGTTTTTCTTGCGAGTAGAGACCGATCGATGTGCGTGATGTGTATTTTACATACAAATCTCACTCTGAATTTTTCAAGTGAAAAGACAACATAGCACACTGATGCATCGTGGTGGAGTCGACTCTCTCAAGTTTTTGCAGCTCGGAACAGCCCCGACTGGATTGAGTAGGCTTGATACTGTACGGCTTGTTGCCTGGTAGATCTCTCGTGTTGGTGTTGTGGGTGTAGCTTTTGTGCTATGTACCTGGTATGTGTTATGTTGGCGAAGTAGTTTGCTCGCTGTTTTTTTTTTTCTCTCGAGGGCAGAGGCCGATCGATGTACGTGATGTGTATTTCACATACAAATCTCACTCTGAATTTTTCAAGTGAAAGACAGCAAAGCACACTGATGCATCGGGTCGTGGGCACCCTACTGCTGGAGGTAGAGGGGAGGAGAGGATACAGAGAAAGGAGCAGCCCGATTGGCTTGACTGTCCGTCCAGGTTTGTCTTCTTCTAATAGATGAAAACACGAACGGAGTAGTTGCCTGTTTTTTTTTGCATTCCGACGACTGGCGTCTGCGTTATTATTCCCTCTGTTGTTGAACGTAGTAAGCTTTGCAGATGATGTGACACGCAATGTATCCCTATAATCAGTGAGGATCAATTTGCGAGCTTTTTAACACTGATGCAAGCCTTTCAAACACCTGAAGCCTTTCCTTCCCGCCGTCGTCTCGCAACACCGAGGCATGGTTTCGAGGGCGACACGAAACGGTTGTAGTAGCAAAGAACAACAGGGTGTGACATCCCTTGTCTCCCGATTCTCAGCACGCGCTCGCTGCTTGTGTGCATAGCGGTTTTGAGCTGGAGTCTCTATGTGATTGTTTGTGTAGTTGGAAGTATCTTGTAAACCTGACGGCATGTGAAGGGACATGAGGTGTCGAAAGACCCTTTGTTTTGTGTTGCCCCACCCACCAGCGTTTCGGGTTAGCAGCGATATTTTCAAGGCTGGGCTTCTCCTAATATCTCGCTGTTGGTGTCGTCACCGAGTCAGGACTCCCCGGCTAGTTTGTTTTGGTGTCTGACCTCCTATCTCGATACCTGTTTTCTAATTTCTGTCGTGTGGATCCTCTGTTTCTGTTTCTCTGGCATAGGGCTTCGGGTATGTGACCTTCGGGGACAAACAAAGCCTGCTAGATGCATTAAAAATGACCCAAAGGAATCTGGGAGGCCGCGATGTGCGCGTCGAGGTGGCTAAGCCTCAGAGAGGGGGCGGCAACCGTCGTGGTGAGTGACGGCTTTCGTTAGCCTCGTCGTTACCCTTGCCGTTGACGTTCACTTGGAACCACGCCTAACGCATCCTGTTTTGAACCTAGCCTTTGTGCCGCATGTTGCATGTCTCTTGAGCAACCTCATCCAGTTTTTTCCTGATCATTACGTGCGCGATGTATCAACAATTGCCACATGTGAATTGACAAAATTTCATCAACCCAAGGCAATGCGACTGATGCGCATAATGTGTATGTAAAATGCAGATCCCACTCTGAATTATCAGTGTCGAGACTAAACATAAACAGCAAGCTAATGCATCGATCGGGTACCGTTGTGATACCGATGTATGGTGTGTGTTTGTATGTGCACTTCGCATGATACTACAAAATCGCTTCAATTTTCCATGACCGGAGAGACAACCAAGCGATCGCGAACGGTGGTGAGCGCTTGTTTTTTCTGCCTAGGTTGGCCGTATGCCAAAAGTCCCAACCATTATCTGGTAGACGACCGTGCTGTGTCCGCGATTATTTGGTGCCATACGAGCTGCATACACTTGTGAAGGTCTTTTGATGCCGGCGGTGCCCTTTCTTTGCCCTTGTTTGGTCCGACCGAGCGCGTGCTCTGCTCGGCCGGCACGTTACAGTCCCACTCGACGCACCACGCGTCTTTTTTTTTTTCTTAATTTTCCCTCCCGTACTTCAAATATAATGGTCGCTGCACTCACTTGCCAATTGTTTGGAGCTGAAACCTTGTCTTTCAATCTGACACAGGGTACGGTGATGGCGGAGGATTTGGTGGGGGCGGCTTCAGCGGGGGTGGAAGGTGAGAAACTATCTGTACTTCAGTACGCGTGGCGTTGTTGGCCTGACTTTTTTCTTGCGTTGTCGTTGTTATTAGCACTCAAGCACTTCACTCAACGCGACACCCTTCCTCCTTCTAAGGTATGGAGCATGTCTCTTGGCACCCTCCACACCTTTGGTTCGGGTCCCTCGGCTGCTTTTCCCAGCCTTGTTCCTGCTTTGCTACTGGTCAAACTGATCACACGATACGATACGCCCATCTTGGCAGACGTGACGGTATCCATACGGTATCGCGACCCCAATTGATACTGAAAGTGGCGTGGTCGTATCGCGGGTGTGTCGCGTGCATGCATACATCCACCCGCACCTACCCCGATATTTTCGAGTACGTTCCCTCCGTTTCTATGCATATGATGGGACGGGGGCTGCTCTCTCACGTATCGTTTGAACCCCCTTCTTCCGTTGCATTTGACCGTGTATTGTATATGCGATCGCGCAGACAGCAGGGTGGCGGTGGCTACCGGCAGGGAGGGAGTGGGCGGGACGACTACGGCGGTGGAAGGTGAGGAAGGCTACCATTATTGAGCATGGGGTAGCTGTTGACATGACATGACATGACATGACATTAGGTGACATACCGCGGTTGGAAAGGGGTGGTATGGCAACGTGCCTCTGCTTTTTGTTATCGAGAAGTAGGGAAGCGAAGTAGGTGACGAGTTTTGCCGAGGTCACAACCGCAGAAAAAACGTGGATAAAATCTAGACTGAAGGCCAGAAGTATTCAGACGTGAGGACGTCGAATCATAACCAGGTTGGTATAATGATATCATCGAACCACTCTGAGGCTGTTTGCTTGCTCAGCGCCCTTGAGGCTCTTCTTGGAGCTGCGTGCGGTGGGTTGCAGAGGCAGCGCGAGATCGTTTTCGATTGTTTTGTACTGATGCGTGTTGCTGACCTGGCCGCAGTAATGTCTCGTTGCGTGTACGTGCGTTCACCGGAGCGATATTTGGCATGGCTACAGCCGAACTGATCGTTGGTTAGTTTTTTTTCCGCCAACAGTAGAGTTAGTTTTTCTTTTGTGAAACTCGTGCGACCATCGTGGTGCGGTGCGCTCGACCGATCGCAGGGGTTACGGTGACAGGGACAGGGGCTACGACCGAAGTGGGGGGGGTTACGGCCAAAGTCGGGGTGGGGGTGGCAGCAGGGACGGCCGAAGGTAAGTGTTGCAGGACTGGCCTCCTTGAGTCGGGTGGGGGGGGGAGGGAGTTGTTGTGATTCGTCGGGGCGAAGCAGCGGAGCAGCAGGAAGGGTAGTTCATGCCTTCGACCAAAGCACGACCCCCCATGCTGTTCCGTATTAGGGTGGCTGAGACAAGCCATGGAGCGGTGTACCCGTCCAGATGCGCACACGACAGCGAGAGACCGCCACCGCGGTCTTTTGTCAAGGGATGTATTAATAAACTAATGATGAACTGCGACACAACTGTAGCGCCGGATGACAAGGGACGTACGCTCTGGACCCTGCCTTGTACTACTCGAACTGTTTTTGGCTTATCGTGCCCCCTATCTTTGCGGCGGTGTTCGTCTCTTTTGTCTCTTGTGCGGTTTGAGGAACAGTGGCGAGGGCCAGCAGGGCTACGAATCCTTTGGCTCTCGCCAAAGGTAGGTGAAACGTTCGTCCTCCCTAGATCGGTGGACGTGTTGTGCGAGAATGCGCTGAGATAGATGTGCATGTGCGGTGGAAGCTTGTTTCACACATTGCCGCTTTTCACCCGCGTGTTAAACTTGTCGAAGAGAAGGTGGTCACTGTTGAAAGTGCCCTTCTTATGTGAAGCGGTGTTCTGGTGATGTGCTGTTGGTCGTGTCCAAAGCACGGATAGGCGCCAAAAGTCCGAACGACTTCGCCGAAGTGTCAGTGTCATCGGAATTTACACAACAATATCAAGATGATCAAAGTGCAGTGGCTGCTTGCCGCAAGGGGGAAAACCACCTCAAACCTCAAAGCACACGTTCTCAGCACGAAGTGTATATTTCCTTGGGCTCTGGAATCATCCCGGCCATCGAGAGCGTTTTGAAGATGCTATATACCTCTTTGAAGCACTCTGCAACAATTTTATCAAATCTTTGTCCGTTGTTCATGTTCATGCCCATGGATGGCCCTCTCCCTTTCAGGGAGGACAGGGGCAGCTCCGGCGGCGGTGGACAAGACGGACCCATCGGGGCCGGCGGTCCTGATGTGCCTGCCGGCGGCGAAGCGCCACCCAGCGGCGAGAGACCCAGGTTGAAGCTGGCGCCGCGCTCCAAGCCGGCCACCGGCCAGGCCGCCGCTGGTGCGGCGGCTCCCGCCCCGGCCTCGTCCAAGAAGGCCAGCATCTTCGGGGGCGGCAAGGCGCACGACGAATTCGCTTACGAGGTGAGTGAGGCCAGAGGCTTGTTTATGGGCTTGTTTTTCTTTCTTTGTGTGTGAGGAGTTGATAATTTTTACGTTTGTCTTGTCTTTGGGTTTGCTGCAGGACGCCGTTGGTATCTGGCGTGAAATTGTGGCCTGGTGTATGACAGGAGGGTGTGCATCTGTTGCCGGTACCGTACCCACTCTCGATGTGGTCCGGACGTCTCTCGGCGCGTTACAGTGACGAGGTTGTTGATTTTGCCTCCTCCACTTGAACCTGCTTTTCTGACCTCTTTCCCCCAGGGCTTATGCTGACGTGAGGGTTTACAGTCTTATAGTAGTCGTTACCATGCTTCCACTTGCGAGTGCTGTATCAAACATTACATCTACACTTCCGAAACAGCAAACCTTTTCCACGAGAACGGAATAACCATGTATCACCCGACGCACCCTTTCTCCACCCAAACTCCACTGGCGGTTCCCTTTCCACAGAAAGCGAAGGCGGCGTCTCGTCCGGCCGCGTCTGCCGGCCGTGGTGGCGGAGGAGGTGCTGCCGGCAGTGGTGACGCTCCTGCCGGAGGAGGGGGTGGGGGGGGGGGTCGCGGGGGGCGGGGTAGCCCCGGTGCCGGCCGCGGCTCCGGTGGACGCGGCGCGGGGGCAGGCCGCGGGTCTCCAGGTGGTCGCGGAAGGTAATTTTACCTAGCCGTGTCCGTGGTTGTACCCCAAGCGGAGGCCACTTGTAGCCCTGTTTGCTCTCAGCGGAGGCGGCGCGTGCTGGGATAGATTGGGTTGACCCCGAAGGTAGCCACGCACAGTATCCCCTGGTATGGATGCACTGGTCGGTCCGAGCCCCTTGTTGTGGGCATGGCCATTGTTGATGACGACCTCCGCGCTTTCATGTGATCCAGCAATGATATGCTTGAGAGGAAATGCATGAGGTCTTGGTTGCTCCAATTCAACAAGGCTGACTTGCCTGCCGGTTGTCGATTGCTGCCCGTGGCTTTGCTGCAGGGGCGGTGGCGGCGGGAAGGGCGGTGACAAGAAGGACAGCGGGAGCGCCCCTCCGGCGACCCCTCCGCCGGGGACGAAGGCTGCTGGCGGTGCCGGTGCCGATGCTCCTCCCCCGGTTCCCGTGACGCCATCGCCTGCATCGACTGCAACTCCTACCTCCAAGGGAGGAGAGGATGGCTGGAAGTCGGCCAAGGCTGCAGGAGGCAAGGGTTCAGCCGCGAAGGGTGCTTCCACTGCTACGGCTGCTGCCGTCGATGCCTCGGTGCGTTTGGATTGGTTGATGCATTCATGCAAACGGCACCTCTCCGGCGTTAATTGCACAAGGGGGTTGCTTGTATTGTAGGAATTCGCGAGATGTTGAATTCTCGATTGATGTCTTTCTTTTGGGGCGTTTTGGTCGATTCAAGGCGTGGTGGTATGGGGCACTGCGTGTGTAGTGTAGTGTTGGATCCTCTACGTTGGCCCCGCTCGATGCATCTTGTCCTGATATTCACACATCTTACAACAACGGCCAGAGATCTTTGACTTGTTTTTCTCACTCCTTCTCCAAGTTGTCTTTGTGTGATGGGTCGCTTCGATCATGTCAAGTTATCCTCAACACGCTGCATGGTCAGTGTCGTTTGATTGATTTCAGTTCCCGGCGTGACACTGCTGTACCACCAAGAACGCGCTGTTTCGTGAGTTTCCATGGAATCGAGTTGGATCGTTGACGGGGACCCAAGAAGCACTGAACCCTGGTCGTGATATCTAGTGTTCAATACCGCAGATTTCTTGTCTGTGTGCCCCCCCCCCCTGATTGTAGTACCTCAGGCGAGAAAGTAATGCGGTCTAGAGTCTGCATGGTGCAAGCGAGGATGTGGAGACGGAAATTTTCACGGAAATAAAAATTAACATGTACCTCTTTCCGGCTGCTGTGTGTGTCTCAACGAAATGTGAACCAGGCGGGCGAGGCGGACAAGGCAACGGCGAAGGTCGACAACAAGTTCTCAGCCCTCAACATGGACGACGACGAATGATATGCCTCAGCTTTTTTTCACATGTGATTGACTCACTTGGCAAAACCGGGACACCTGCTGCACCCTCTGCCGGGAGAGAAGAAAGCAAGGGAATGTGACTTGGTTTGGTTTGACGGAAATGGCCGTGCGCATGCCGTGTGTCCTACGGGCGGAGTAGGCGTTGAAAATATCGTGTCGGTGGTGCGTATGTCAGCTGACCACGCGCGGTCGGAGACTATCGTTTGGTGGAAAAGCGTAGTTTGGGTAGGAAAGGCAAGCCCCGCCACTGAATAAGTGTGCCGTTAGTTGCCTGGTTTTTTGCAAACTGTCAAAATGCGGATGACCCATCCTTCAGAGAAATGCACGACACTGGGATCGGAGAGAGGGATGGGAAACCGTTTGAACGGTGTGGGGGGACCGGGCCGCCTTCAAGCAGGTGGGGTGCAAATCGTGTTTGCTGTGGGGTGCAAATCGAGAGGTCTTGCTGGGCCTCGTCACGGGCTGTGCATCTCTGGTCAAGTTGTGCGGTCCGGTCCTATAACATGAGCTGATCGATGCACCGTAGTAGATACGCGTGGTACTTGCTTGCTGGATTAGCTGTGCAAATGAAAATGTGTATGGTATAGCTCTGAAGTTTAGATGGAATTTTTTCCATGTCTGGCTGATTCGTCACCCCGCGCTCGCTCGCAAATAGACTTTACGCACAGCGAATACATTGTCTTTGTGTTGCTCTTTCACCTCGTAAGGCAAATAAATTTCCCACTTTTGGGCATACACCCCTGGTCCACTTTTGCCCAAAAATGTGCTCTTGTCAGACCAACCAAACGGTCCTTCTTGTGCCTAAAGGTATTTAGTCGTAGATTAGTAGTTTTATGTACAGGCGCACGTCGTGCGACTATGTCCTAATTTACGCCGTATGCAGGCCACCTTGTTTTTCCTGGCTTGCCCGGGTCCATGGGAGAAGGCTTGAACGAGAAGGCGTTGGGAGTCTTAAGAAGCAGGTACTGGAGGTTGGGTGGACGGTATTGGGGGTTGGCTTTGGTCCTCACGTCGAGTGTCGTCGGCCCTCAGAAAATCGTGTGTGCTATGTAGTGATGCGTATAATGGACATTCCTGGCTAACAGCGAGTAGCGTTGTAGGACACGGCATTGTTCTTTTGCTCTATTGCAGACAAATTGGAATTTTTTTTTCTGACGGTGCAAGTGCAGGCTACGCACGAACGTATCTCACGCACACACTTCGACGACAGCACGTCGCCTTCTGCGAACACGTTGTTGCTTAACTGCGAATAATTCGTCACCCAATACCATCAATAGACTACTCCAATTTTCCTTGGCCTGCAGTGGGCGCAGCTTGGGCCATTCATTCAGAGTGGTGACGGCCAAGTACGATACGTCCTGTGACGTCTGCAAGATGAACTCCTGTGGTCTATTGCGAGACCTGGACTACACAAGGTCCGCGCAAGATTTGAAAACGTCAAAACAGAGCATATCATTATGCAAAAGCGACATCGTGACAAATTTCGTACGTCCATGTCTCCTACACACTACAAAAAGCAAACCAAGACACATCGCTGCGCTGCTGGATTTGCCAGTGCCAGACTGGCGTACGTACATATCGCGTCCACCCTAAACAACATGCAAAAACCGAAACACATGGCTGCGCTGCTGGATTTGCCAGCATATCATTGTGCAAAAGGGAAATCGTGACACATTTCGTACGTCCATGTCGCGTACACCCTGCAAAAAGCAAACCAAGACACATCGATCGCTGCGCTGCTGGATTTACCAGTGCCAGACTGGCGAACGTACATATCGCGTCCACCCTAAACAACACGCAAAAACCGAAACACATCGCTGCGCTGCTGGATTTGCCAGTGCCAGAATCTCTATACCCACGCACTCAATGTAGACATCCGGTGGCTTCTAAATGCACGCTCGTCTGCGCGCCGAAATCGCAACTCTTCTGCTCGATGTTTGTGACGCGGAATGCTGGAAGCGCGAGGTTGAAAGTCCCTTCAAGATCTCAAGAGAGCTGGCCATCCGTATGTAGTCTACTCTCTTTCGGTCTTCGAACTTCTCGCATGAGCTCCGGGACATTTATTTCAGCGAGGAGAAAACTGCCCATGGTAAAGCATTGTCGGCTGCCAACGCTCGACTCGTCGGTAGGTAATGAGGGAGTAGGGTGGGGTGAGGGAAGACGAAGAAGGTTGAATGTTGTCGTCACTTTCGGGTCTTGTCGCTTGAACAGTGCTCTTCGTCAAGCGTTTCCTCTACCATTTGGGCGGCTTGGCCATGCCGTCCTATAAACTTTGCAATGTACCCCCATCCGACAATTAACCGGAAGGCTCGATACACCGCCTTGGCGAGTACGATGATCCCTAACTTCATACCTTAAGTCCAAGCTTGTGTCACCTTTGTGCCTCTCAGTTAAGTTGTAACGAGTCGTTGCTCGGACATTGTTACGACGTTGTTTTGCTCTCGATGTCGACATATTTCTACCGCGGGACCAATTTCTGCTCCTCCTCTCTTCCCGCTGTTGTTTTGGTTTTCACTTCTTCTATCCAGACCTTTCGCACTCAACCGTGATCCAGACTAGACTACTATCTTGGAACGCGTTTGCTGAGGTTTTGGACAGCATCACTCATATCACATCGAGTCTACACAAGGAACCTCGCGGAGCTTCAACCATAAGATCAGAAAGGGAAACACGCGAAGTACGAAAACCACCGAATACAAACACGAGACATCCTGGGTATCATCAATATTTTCTGTCGCCGACAAAAAGCAAATCTTCAAGACAGCTATCCACCTTCGCAGAAACTCTAAGTTCCACACAAAAAAACAAGACTACTAAAGCTTCCTTCCCCTGTGGAGCAGGCATCGCAGCAACGAGCTCTCCGCACGCGTCTCCGAGGCTGACAGTGTCAATCGGTTGCTTGGACACCAAAGCATCACAGCTGCCCGAGCTTGTCATGATTGAGACCCTCGTAGCATGTCAAACCGTCAGCATTGAGAATGCTGTCGTCCGCTCCTTTGGATATGAGATACTCCCCGAAGCTCTCGAACCCATAGCTATAGGCGTAGTGCAGCGGTGTCTGTTGCCAATTCATGGACGTGAGAGGGAACGGGCGGGGGGGGGAGGGGATCACTCTCGCATTTTGCTCTCCCAACACCTCTGGAAGGAATACAAAGCTGTAGGACAAGATGAACGGTTGAAGAACTATAATACTCCCAGCATCACCATGCTTGAAATAGCGAAACATCCTGGTAGTTTCCGACAGATTGTACCTTTGTGGCCCTTGTCAATGCTTGGCGAATGTGCACGAACCGACTATATGCTGTGCTTCAGGGTGATTTCTCAGGTGTATCCCCACTAGGAAAGGGGCATGGCTCCACAAACAAAGGAAACAAGCATTTAATAATAATATTCTTGTCGCAAGCCCCACGTGGTAACGCAATACACAAAAAAAACAGAAGGTCGCCTTTGGCACCTGTGACTGCAGTACTGAAACGAGGAGACTGGACACCAAGGAGTTTCATGCAAGCTCGTACTTTCGAGAATATTACATTTGATTCATTTGAAAACTAAATAAACGTGTTTGTTTTTTTGTTTCGGGTGTTGTTCTTTTGTTTTGGGGGCGCAATATGTTGTAACAAAAGATGACAACGCTAGCAAATACGAGAGGGCGACATACAGGGGGGAAAACGCCACCCACCACGGACTCACAAAGACAACGACATAGTCTAGCCTTCCGTTCTTGACCCACCTGACCGTTGTTGTTGCGTTTGTTGACGTCGGCCCCCTTTCGGAGGCAGAGTTTGGCTATTCTCTTGTTGCCGTTTTGGGCGGCCACGTGGAGGAGAGTTACCCCAAGGTCGTTCTGGTAGTCTATGGGCATCGTCCAGTCCGCCTGGTGTGTGTCGTATGTGTTGCAGCAAGTACAGCACGGAACGAACGAAAAGACTACGTCAGTCCTACGAATCCATCGATGGACGCAGGATCAGTGAGCCAATCACGTTGTGGTGTGGTCCCTCATATGCTTCGCGTAACAGTGGCTCTCTGAGCGGCAAAAGTGAAAGTATGTGATGCCACAAAGCCAAGCACCATGATTTAGGGGTGAATATACTTTTCCTTTCACCAGCTCGAAGTGCAAGCGTACACGTTGCAAGTAAAACGCGTTCTAACTAATCGAGCTACTTCGTGGATCCAGCGCTTCATAAAGCGACGCGCTGCAAGTCTCGTTGTTAGCAAACTTGATCGACTTCATAAGTCGCGAGGGAAGGGATTGCTGTACCCTTCTCGCGCCTCAGGCAGGAACCGCAGGAGGGGGTCCACCCCCCCCCCTCCTATGTGACCCCGGTTGGGAGGTGTAGCTGGCAGAAGTAGAGGATAGGGGCCAGAGGGGCAGACAACAGAGTCCAATGATTGGAGAAAAAAAAAAAAGTGTCTTAAGTTGATGAAATGCGAGTACCGCTCTTGCCTGGTTCATGGCTGTCTCCACGTCCGCGTAGCGAGCGTGTCTTGCCCAGCTCGCGATCTGCTCGAAGTCACTCGCAAGTTTCGCCTGCCGGAAAGGAAAAAGTAGACGGGTGAAAGCTGTTTACGGATAGACAATGGTTGTTTTTGTGTCGTGTGTGGTTTCAAATCGAAAATCGTTCTACCTCTACCCAGTCCCTCGTCCTCACCGCTTTTCAAGGCGAAACTCGAAAATATTTGTTCCCGTCCACATTCGTTTCATTCCTACGAAGCTACCCCGTCTGTGTGACCCGTAGATCGCAGCCTCACCACTAAATCTATACGCCGCTACTCCCTCTGCAAGTGTTGATAGTGAATGCACAACAACCGAACCTTGCCCATGCAGGCGACCACGGCGGACTGTCCCCATGGTCTGCGGAACGTCAATGCTCGCCGAGTTGGTGGTACCATACATTTCCAAGATCGTGGCAAGCAACACTTCTACCGGCACCGTTTCGTCTTTAACGTTCTACTTCACCCTTTTCTTGAGCCCCTACCATCGTTTCATCTTCGTGCCAACGCAGAATCTTTGTCCCCTTGTTCTTAATCCACAGACGGTCGCGAATAAAAAGCATTTGGAGTACGACGCAAGGCTACCGTTTAGATTGAGCAGCCTAACCCTTTTAACACTCTAGACTTGTTCGTGCACTGCGGCGATGTCTAGTACGCTGCAGCAAGCCCCACCTCTTCTGCTGAGACGATTGCCATCTCTGCGTGCCCCGCGGAGTCCTTAAGCTCGAGGTATCCGGTCTGTGGTACGGTAGAAACCCCGCCGCCGTCTTCGTCGCCACCGAGGTCTCCCTGTAGCCTCGGCCAACAAAGAAAGTCAAAAAGTGACAGTTGGGGTTAGGGCGAAAGCTCCTCGTCCCACTGGTGCGGGCAAATCTTGAAGTATCGTCCCGAATCTCAAGAGTTTCTGCGGTAACATTCTCCAATACATCCGTTTGTTCTCGTTTCCTGAGTCTAGGGTGACATGCTGACGGACTGGCTGAAATCGAGAAAAAAAAGCTGGGGAGTCAGAAGCACCATTAGTGACGCAAGTGTGCCTCGAAAGCGCACGAAGTTTATGGTTTGCTCAGCTGATGGTTCTCAGAAAAATTCAGTTTCGGTTTCGTTGAGTTGTCCGGCTGGGGGCTCTCAACTGTCCCGTCTGGATAGAGGGTTGAACAACGACGACTTGCTTGTAAACTTGTCCCATGCAAAAATCGCAATGCACAGCAAAATGACGAGGCAACACCCACCAAGAGAACAAGCCCAACCTCAAAAACCAGCTTCCAACAAACGCACACGCAAGAAAGCAATCGACTGAGTTAGTTCTATTCGAAGAGGTAGGTGTTCACCTGCTTGATGCTGAGGGAAGGGATGAACTCGGCGCTGAGCGGCTCTCGGCCGGCCGACCAAGGATCGAATCCAACCGCAAACCAATCTTCCGCCGCTGACCTAGGCTTCACGCGGCCGACTGCTCTTGCCTGAGGCATGTTTGGCACATGCGGTAGGTAGTCGCAGTGCTGGAGGAGGACGATGAAGGGCCGGGAGGGGGGCAGCGACCAGTTTAACACGAGGCAAAGTTAGCAGTTTGCGATTCTGACATCGAACTTGATTGACACGAAGAAAAGGGACTATGAAGGGCAAGGCTGGCTGTCAGGGGAATGTGACGTGTGCGGACGGTTTGAAATGAGAAGCTCATTCATCCGTGATTTACGATCAACTAATAGCGCTTCTGATGGATAGCAAGATTAATATAAGTCGCGGGGCTTCCGAGGACCCGGGGGCACACAGATAAATACAATAGTTAGATAACACGTAGAGCTAACGTCATGCTGCGGAGCGTCCAAGGAGGTGACGGAACCATATGAGCGGGATGAAGGATGGGATTCTAGGTGAACTCAGGTGGTCTCAGAAGCGGTATTTTACCGCTCGCCCATCTATTGTTTGCTAGACATACCACGGGAGAAGGGGGAAACATCCGGAAACTGTGACTGTACTTTCTTTTGTCGATTGAAGATGGACATAGAGGGCTGTGGGCGACAGGTCGAGTAGTACTTGGGGGCCAGGTCACCGCAGATGCCATGTGTGCAATTCTGTGCCGGCAGTGATGCATTTCGAGGGAAACGTACTGAGGTAGAGCACACACAACAAGAAATGACGTGTGTTGGTTGCAAGTACTTTCCAGTACGCTGTACCTGCTTTCCGACGTGCGTGTGTGATATTGCGTTGAGGAAGCCTTCCGGTAATTTCTCGTTCGTCCTCCTCATCGGCACGCCTAGAGAGCTCTTGGCACGCTGATTTGCCGCCCGGTCGCCCCCCGCCGGCTGCCAGGACTGGCCCTCTCCGGCTGCCCCGTGCCCCTTCATTTGCCATCATCCAGGCACATATTGCAATGAGTAGCCATTGTCAGTAGCGTTGGCACTGTAAATGCTTTGGGTGAGTGTTGCACTACTTCACGCCCCGTGCGCGCACGACGGGACAGGCGTCGGAGCTTGGTGTTGGTAAAGACCTTCGCCGTCCAATCGAATGGCTGCGTCGTATGGTAAATAGACACCACACCAGCAAAAAATTCGCCTCGCCAATCGGAGTTTTTTTTGCTTGTTGGGACCTCAATCATAATGCCGACATGTATACTACTCCTTAATTCGCAGTTTCGACCCTCTGGTCACGCGAGGGAACGTCTTTGTCCAAGGAGCACTCGCACGGAGTACGTCACCACCCCACCACCCTCACACTGCTTAAGATGACTATCGTACGACAGCGACAACGACAAAGGTGGTGACAGCAGCAACAACAGCTCACTCGGTACTGCTTCTTCCAGAGCGTCTCCGGGTAAGCGATGATGGGGATGCTCAGCTCCGCCTTTCGACGGGGGTCGGCCTCCATGTCCTGAGTTATCGTTTCCCACGGAAAATGTCGGCACGCGAATTCCAGAAATCAAAATATGACATGAGAGGAGAAGATGGCAGAGTGCAAAGCAACGTTGAACTGGAAGAATAGTACGGTGAACGCTGGGAAACATGAATTACGCGTAGCACCCAAACGGGCCTGCCTCAGAGAGGTGTCCGTCTCGCAGGTTCGCTTTCCTCTGGCTTGACTTTGGTAACCATGTGGAATCCCGCAACCCGTCCGCGTACCGTTGCAGACCTACTACTGTTGATGCTCACGTCGCCCTCCTACTCGAGACTTGACAGGACACTTTGATACCGCAACCCCACAAATGGATGTGTTGTTCCATCTTTCCTTACCGTATACCCCCATCGTCTCAATCCCCTCATACAGTCGAGTCGGTGGTCGTTTCATCGCGGACTGCAAGGTTCACACTTGACAACGACCAAGTTGTCCTACTCTGATCGTGTCAAAGTCTGATCGTGCACTAGCAACCTATTTGCTGACTCAACATCCACCATGTAACCATTCAACTATCACCACTCACCTCTGGGTTGACCATCCCGTAGTCCTCATCGGGACAAGGTGTGGGTTCAGGAGGAGGAACCACCTGTTTGGCGTAGGGGGGTCGGCGGGGGCGGGGGCGGGATTGGTCGAGGGTGAGGCGGGGTGGGGCAAGGATGTGGACCGGGAACGTACTGCACAGGTTTGGTGAAAATGATTCATGGTTTCACCAACCGAAATGGCGTTGGTGCCAACTAAGTTCAACAAACGTTGCAGGTTAAGCTGATGCCGGTACGGCAGCCACCTCGGAATACCGCATTCCGTTTACCACCTTCCCCAACAGTTTCTCTCGGGGTGCAGATCGTCCAACAATGTTACTTTCAAGACTCCCAGCAGGAGGTGGTTGTTTCGCAAGATATATCTTTTCACAAAGGGACACCAGTAGACTGTCTCTTCCCACCAGTAGCCCCTTAAACTCCTCCGATGTCTTGAGGTCTGCGCTGTTCCGGACAATCGACGCGAGGTGCTCCGCTTCGCTCTTGTGGTCGAGAACCGCGCTGTCTTCCTTCTTGGCGACCGGTTCCGTGTGCCCGTGGCCTATCGGATGTCCGTTCGGCGATACCTATAATTCGTACAAGTTGAGCTGGTTTACTGGAGCATACGCTTGGAAGCAAGGGGAGTAGACGGACAACTCATTCGCCAAGCGTACACAAATGCCATGTCATCCTATTGGTCGTCAAAATGTGGCTGTTGCCGAATGTGTGCCCCACCAGATCGCTGTCTGTTTAGCATGGTGCAAAGGACGACTGTACTACGAAACGAGGTAATGAATACTAGCGCGATCGATGTTCGTTGGTCTTCCTTAGGCAACATATCTAGTTGAAAACGTTCCATTGTACGCTTTGGCTGTACTATTTTTCTAATGATACCGTGCACTGTTGATCAACCCTCCCGCAAAGCGAACGGAAATTTTCCCGGAGAAAACGTCAGAACTTCTCCTTCAACGGAGGTCACGCGCGCATGCCCACCACGTACATCATCGATAGCACAGCACCGAAACAGCTACTAACGACGGAAATATATGTATCATACCAAACCCCTTGTGCAGCAAACCGACCTTGACAACAGGAGGCGCCAGCCAAGCCTCCACACCCCCCGTCCCTTCAATTTCCTCCCCGTTCCATGGACCACTACGAGTGCCGCCGCCACCGCCGGGGCTCGCCCCAGTGATTCCACTTTTCCCACTCCCATCCAACTCGCCAAGCAAGCCGTTTGCGCCTAGGGTGATGCCGAGCCCCATCCCGAACCGCAACATGTCCGACGGTTTCACGGTGCGTCCGTCGTTGAGGCCGGCGTCTTTGAGGGCTTGAGAGATCGAGGCCGCCAGACGATCAGCCTTTTTTCGGCGAGACGTGAAGAGAAATTTGAAGCCGACACGACGGTACACAAAAAGGCACCAATACGAGTCGTTTTGGTCGGAATACAGAACGACACAGGTAGGGTGAAATAGTACACCCCGCCGACATATCATTCGTGCCTGTGCAGCATGGCATGGCGATATGTCGGACACGCCGATCGATAAGCGGCTTGGCGGTCAGACTTAACTTGAACGTCTTTCATGGTCCGATCACTTCAGTCGTTCATGGTCCGATAATTTGACATTACGTGAAATGGCGGTACGGTTCCGTGGGCCCGACAGTCGGAACAGGGTGCCCGTTGTGTTGGTATTGTGCATGGTACCTTAGCGTTTGCAATACTTGGTAGCCTGTTCATGGGCAAAACGTTTTCAGCTATTCTTGGCAAGGACACGGCGGCTCGTGGTCATCCGTGGACAAGTGAACTTGTTCAAAGAGCCCGTTCAAGCTGAACACCACCGCACCGATTATGAGGCGGGCGCCGGGCGCTTTAAGATGAATCTAAATAAAACTTATTGCATACAAGTATCAGCCTACTGCGCAACCAAAACATTCAAGGTATATTCGACTTCAAAACCCTACTATCCCACACTTTCTCCCGTCATAACACAAGAAGCGACTCCGCTTCTTGGGCGCTTGAAAAGTTGAGAACCCCCATCACCTTTCTCCCGGAGTCTCCGGTCCCCTGGCTTGTTCCTTGCCCGCTCTCGCCCGCTCCCCGGTGGTGCTGCCCCTTACCGCGAATGCCTCCGCCCGTCGGCGACCTCCGAGGACTGTTGGCAGATGCATCCTGTTGATTTTTCTTGCCGGTGCTCGACGCCCCACTTGGCAGCGACGACGAAAGAAGAGTGTCGGAATCCGGGCCACCCGATTCGTCCCCTGCGGTTTCGGTGGCGCAGGAGGGTTACGAGTTATGAGGGAATGCGTGTGTGGCGTCACGAACACTACGATGGAGCTGCGATGGAGCTGCGATGGAGCTGGACGCGAGAAAACACGTGAGACGACAACGCATGAAGACGACTGTCCAGGAGCCCATTTGCGCAGCAAGACTTTACACGTCGAGAAAGGAAGCCGTGTTTGGGAATCAGCCCGATGGCCGAGTAAACCTTTTTGTGTCTTTGGAACGGCAAGATTCGAGATTCCCATCACCATCACCAACAACAACGACAGCAGCAACAACAACAGGAACATAATTTTTCGAGTCCAAACCCAACCCACCTTCTGGTTCGAGGGTGTCATCGTCGTGTTGGTCAGGTGTAGGTGGCTTAAGATCATTGGGGTCTGGGGGCGGGAGAGCACCGCTTTTCCTGGCCCATTTTACTCCTGTGGCAACCTGGTCAAGGCACGGCGCGAGTGGCAAGTTAAAACCTCGAGATGCGATCATTTGGTGCTGGTGCTGTTGCTGTTACTACTGCTGATGGAACTACTTTGTCGTTATCTTTTTTGTCTTCGTTACTGTCGTTGTCGTTGTCGTTGAATTTGTTGCGGTCATTGTGGTCGTAGACATCCTCGTCGTGGTTGTTGTCATCATCGTCGTCGCCGTTGCTGTCGCCGTTGCTGTCGTTTTCCCTTTCTCTGGCGGTATTGCACTATCTTGTGCAATACCGTCAGAGAAACAAACGAGTACTTGGCGAGACGTTAAATAGCATGTAGCATGAAATTCACATAGTACGATGACGCCCGTCGCTGGAAGGGGTAGGAGGTGGGGCTTGAACACATTCCGCCACAATGATAGTGCTTCGAAAATCCCAAAATTGGAACAGCACGATCCGAATTCGTGCAAGAAAGCAATCCCTCTTCTCGCTTCTGTTGTTGCTCTTCCCTCGACTTCGTCGTGCGAAGTTAGACTCTCAGTCGCAGCTGGTCCCTTTTCGGAAACGGGGAGAGGAGAGCAACAGGCCGCATCTACATCGCTCCAACCGTTGGCCACCAACAAGTATTTGTTTTGGTTCCTGTAAGAATGGTGTTGGGGCACGATCAAATCTGTAGAATAGTGTGTCACTTGGTGTTGTGTCTGGTTGATGCTACAGATGTTGTGAAAGACACTTCTCTACTTCAAAGTGTCGAGGATAACCTACAAAAGGCTTGATTTATCTAATTGACTCTATCCCTCCGGTGTTTCTCTCTGACGCCGATCTGTCTTGACACTCATTTCACCAGTTGTAAGATCGTGTCTCTATTTAGGATTAGCGTCTTGCCTGCTTTCTTCTCCGCTCCAAGGCCTCGGTCCCCTCGTAGCTCTTCATCATCAGCTTCCGCATCTGCCGCTGGTCATACCTGGAACGTTTCGGGTATTTGGAACATGACGCGTGCGGCGGGGAATAGGCGCATCGAATGTTGTCACGACTTATTCGGTGATTTGTTCGCCTTCGGCGCTGACGAACTGCTAGCGTTTGCTGCGAGACACGTTGCGATCATGCTTTTCAGCGAATGTCATTGACATGTTAGCTGAGTTTATCGCAAAGTTCTGCAAGCCCATCAAAGTAGTGTCTAAGGACAAGGTGGGCTGTGATTTCAAAGATCATTTCGTGGGATGTGATAGGCAGCATCTTCTCGCTAAAAGCTGTCCAAGGGGCGCGTACGCGACAAGCAACAGCTTTGCCGCGGGAGAGTGGCTAGGGGACTTCCTACTCCTTAAACTTGTGTTTCATTGGCTATATTTGACGGCAAAAGTGGCCGGACAATCGCTTTCTCTGGTATCTGGCTAATCCTTTCAAAGAGGTCACCCGTCTTGCCATTATATCGCAGGCGATTGATTCCCTTGTTGTTTCGCCCCCGCACTCTCTATCGTTCGCAAGTACCTCGGAAAAGAAGTATATATATACCTCCACCATAGTTATGAGTCCAACATACCTGGGCTTGATGGTCTCGAAAGCCCCGCTAGAGCTGTCCGGTGGCTCTCCTTGCCCGCCTAAAATAGTCCCGCCCTCCTTGACAGGCACCTATGATACGAGGGAAGATCGACCAAGAACGTTACAAGCTGCACTGCTGGATGTCGGCATGCCGAATCTATTTGTCCCATGATGCTCCTTTGCACTTGATGTTTTTACGATGCCTGTCATGTACTGGAAGCACCTCTCGGCCCGCCGCCCCCCACCTTCCCGGGATTGTGATGATGAGGCACTCGCTATTTGGTGCATCCCAGACTGCGGCACGGTTTCGCAACCCTCAGTAAAAATAGATAGAATACACCACGATTGCGCCTTGTCGAGGAGACAGTTCGGTCGAAGCTATTGACGTCCCCCTTATTAAGAATAATGGACAGCTCAAGCCGAACATAACACCAGTAACTTCAAGGTTAATTTTCTCGTGAGTGGATTACGAACGCTGCTGCTATTTCATGTCACACCCTGACAATGCTACTGCTTTGTACGGGTGTGTTCTGGCACGTGTCTCGGGTTCTCCACGACTTTCTTCTCCACATGGAAGATGGCATTATCAACCGCGGCAACGGGGGGGGTTGCGTCGGCTCACGGCCTGGGCCACTTGGTTCTTGCCTACCTTTTCTTCGGCGCAGAGCGGTCTCTCCCAGAACGTCTCTCCGGTCCTCCTATCGTACCAGTACGATATCCCGTCATCAGTCTCGAATTCCTCCAGCACCTGGTATCACCGGACGGACCGTGGGAAAATCTATGTCAACCTACATCTATTCATTAAAGAATCCCCCCATCAAATTTAGTTCTACGCTCCTCGCGTTCACTTGTTCACGGTGAGATCGGCGTACAAAAAGTGAGGTAGGTAGGACGTGCTAGCGACGGTACTGAACGGGGCAACTGAGCGTTGAACAAACAAACAAACAAGCGATCAGTTTGCATGTATTGCCGCGACGATACGCTCTCGTTGATACACAAGACGAGCATCAAGTTGCTGAACCGTGTTACGCGCAACGGCGCTATCACCGTGCGACGTGTGAGGAATGAGTCCATCGCATTGACCGGACCATCCATCCACGGGTAGACGCGTACTTCTTGTGTATTTCTTTCTCTCGAGCAACAAAGTCAAGTGCTGGCCATCATAGTGATGGGCTCCTCTGTCGTGGAACATTATCAGTCCATTTGTCGGTCTTGGGATTTTTGCCTCAAATCCGAAGTGGCGATACCGACTTGGACAAGAACGAGGGCGAGACCACCGTCATCACCACCGCCTTAGCAACAACGGCCGTCAACTCGTCCCTACTAGCGCTCAACGTTACCGATCGTTGTGGGATGCAAGCCCCCCGGTACCTTACCTTTCCCACGAGTGTCTAAAGGGTTCCTGCCTTGGCAGACTATTCAACCGCTGAAACATCAACAGTGCGTCTAGCCCGCCGCTACGAACCCTTTGGGCACGACCGAATGGTTGCTCCGGGGTTGAAGCAGCGCTGGCCGCAGCTCCTCACGTAGTGCTACCGCATCACTCGCCTACAGATAAAAATTCTCACAGCGGAGTTGCTGTACCTGTCTTTGAAGGAACGCCCAGCTACGGTATACGATCCCGACGCAGTGACCCATGGGTCTCATTGGGTCGCTGCCCCGCATGAATTCGCCACACTCTTGTGCCCCAAGGTTGGTGAACACCTGGGTGCATTTGACGCATATTGAAACGTCGGAAACGGTTGGAAAACACGTCTAGAAGGTTGGTGCGGGCCTCGAGGTGTACGTGTCAGGCAGTAAGGACACACCCCACAAGCTCTATCTACGTGCAAAATGACGTACGCACCGTGAACCGACTCAGCGCACCCACCGTGAAAGTTAGGCAGCACAATCGTACGATCACCCACAAGTCACCGTGTAAGTGCCCTTGCTGCGTCTTGCCCTCTCGGTGCTAAAGTTACTCGCTCAACTGAGGAAAGAGAGAGAGAGAAAACACCCAAGGTGTACCGGCGCTCGAACAGCGCACCATGTAGACGAGCATAAAACGTTAACATCGCCCTCAACAGCGAATGTTCTAAAGCACCCCCGAGGAACACTGTTCCATACGATGCAAACTCTTGAAGCATGTACCAGCACGACCGCCTTCCCAAGGAAAATCTCCGAAACATTATCAAGTTCTTGCATCAAGCACAACAGCACTCGCCTGTTCCTTGTTGGGGCTGCAGGTGGCCGTGAGAAGCAGGTGGTAGAAGTCGAGGGTGGTGTTGCTGCGGTTGCTTGGCTCGCAGAAGGGGTACGACCGATCGGCGTGCGTGGTGACCGTGCGGTTGGCGCTGCAGAGGTTTGGCGTTACTACCTCCTCGGATGGCGTGAACGCTGGACACAACATATGGGGAGGAGAGGGGGGGGTGTACTCATAGCCGTGCATGCCGTAGTTGTCAGCCCAGCGACTTCGCATCCCTACAATGCCGGGACGGAGCACGCCGGGTTCTCACCGGGCCAGACTCTCGCACCACCAAGCGCGAAGCGCCGTGAGGTACTCGGCGAGTCGCATGAAAGGTGCGCTGCATCCTGCTAAGGGTGGTCGTCATCTTGTGCTTACTTCCTTGCGTACGGATGACAGCTGTAAATGACTTCATTTATTTTCTGGTACGAATGGGGGGGGGGCTCAAACAGTCTGACTTCCGAAATAAGGTTATTGGCATGACCCCGCTTTTGCGAGTGTATGCGGTATGCTCCTTGCGGTTTGCGCTTCAGAGATCTACCCCCTCGGGTATAGTACGCGCCGCACGTAACTCAAGAAGGTATTCGTCCGTTGGTTGGCTTGGTCGCACGGCACGTGGCACACCTATACAGTGAATTCACTAATTTCACATATGTACCTGTGGGATCGAGTGTTGGCAGCGCAGGAGCGGCGTCGGCGTGTGCAGAGGTGCGGAAGCCATGTGAATCTGCCTCTCCAGTCTGCTCTGGTCGATTCAAGCCAAAGTAATGTCTATTTCCTGGGTCGGCCATGAGAGTTTTCACCATCACCTGCTCGAAGCAAAGGAGCAGGTAAATGCATGTAGACAGTTTGGAAATGTTCCCGGATGAATCGGTTGCAACAATGTATTGGCGTTTCCCTCCCAAGAACGCTTCGAAGTGCCGTCTTCTTTCTCCTGGGGATATGGTACTAGCACTCCGGAAAGAACTTGCTTTTGTACCCATCTGGGGGAAGAAATGCTTTGGTTATTGCCCAGGGCATACAAAACTCGAGCTAGATGCATAATTTGTACTCTGCCCGACTTGAGCATGAACAAAACTCAAAAGCAACATCGAGGCCCCGACGACTGATCCAAAGTAGATGAATCATGCACTCGCCGCAGGAGCCCTGCGGCTGTTGAGAGGGTGCTGTAGAGCCCGTGGCAAATATGCTTGATTCTCAACCAGTAACTCCAGGGACTCATATTCCGCCGTTCGTTCCTCGCTAACAGTCGGAGCCACAGATGATTTCTGCATCACTGTGAAGTTTCCTGAAACGTGAAACAACCAAAGGCGAGTATAGCGCAGCAAGCAGAAAATGAACACAAAGGCAATATTGGGACATGGGTGTGAGACCACCGCTTCAGGGTTGTTTGAACACGAAATTTCCGTTACGGTGGGGGGTCCGGTTTAGCGACCTCTAGTGTCACGATGAAATGTGGCGCTATTGAGGGCAGGTCGCTAAACCGAACTACCATTAATTAAAGGAGTTACATTGCCGGGGTGGGGCGGTGCCCCGTGGCATTGTGGTCACTAAACAGGGCATGCCGTCAAAGAGGGGGTCGATAAACCGGCCCCCCACTGTAGTCACTAAAATCGCGAGATATCGACGGCGTCAAGTGTATATTCAACAGCGGTACAACAGTACTAGTGTATCACTCGCGGGGTGAGGGTCTACAGTGGTGTTGAGTAAGTTACGACACTTTCTCGCTATATGGTTCACGTCAGCTAGAGGGACACAGCCACGGAGAGAGGAATATGCAATAGGCCATCCTAGGCTTGCCCTTCAAAAACTAGGCTACGAAATCTGGTGCGACATGTTATTCAATGCACAACTGTTTTCTCCAGAATTCCGTCCAGAATCAAGTGGGATGTAGGCTGTTTCGTAACATTACACGCGAACGGAATCAATGTACCATTACCAGTTGACGGCTTCGGGCCATTCAAGAGCGCTGTCATATGCATACAAAAGTGGCCAGAAGCTACCGCCACCTAGAACGTATGTATCAAAGAAATGCCTGACATTATTCACGACCTACTGTAACACCTACCGTATTGCGGGGCCATCCTCGTGCTAACCAGCATGTGCACCACCATCTCTGCGGGGAGCCCCCCGACGGCCATCATTGCCGGGGTTGGTTTTCTGGAGAAGGTTGCGAACTTGATTGTCGACGCCGGAGGGTATTTAGTCCGGGCCACCTCGTCCGACCCAGGCACCGGTGACATCACTTCCACCTAAACAATGGTCAAGGATTATACGGTCGTTCTCGTGGGGCTCGGGGGTTCTGGTTTATGGACGGCTTGGTTGCAGTTCGTCATGCTCTCGCGCGGAGACTGGTGACGAAGCTAAAGTCACGTCGGCAGACACACACGGCGGTATTCACGAAATATAATAATGGTGGCCTTGTCGCGGGCGACGATGGTGTGCTGTCGTGACAAAAGACAAGAGAGTCGTTGCCACTACAGGGGAGGGGTTCTACCCCAGCGGTGTCCCTCTTGCTCCTGCTAGGCTTCCTGAGGGAAAAAAAAAAGAAGGTTGGCACAATCAGAGTGAAAATAATCGTAGACATCCCTGTACTGGGTACGGCATAGATCAGGATTCGGAGCCGCTTTGTTGGCCGTTTGCTCCAAGAGCGGAAAACACGTCAACTATTTTTCGACATCCCCGACGTCGACGGAGGGGAGCGTCACGCGGGGAGAGTCACGCAACGACCACGAAGAGGAGGGGAGAGTCACGCTACACGTACTCTTATTCTCTTCTCACGTTTGTAATCGCGGATCGGACGACACCTTCGACGGTGGCCTCGCACAACAGCACCATCCACGCCGCGCGGACATTGGTTGCGGCCAACCCAGCGTCCCCTCCTCCCCGCCCCCTCTCCCCAGGGACCGTCGCATCATCCGCTGCCTCTTCATCGAGGTACTTTGGTTCCGGCATAGGCATCGTTTTTGCAGCCGGTAGGGAGTACCTGCATAATGTTATGAGGACATGTCCGTCAGGTTGGAACTAGTGCAGTGGAAATCAGTGGGCTTGCAAAGGTGTGTTTGAATGTTGCCACACGTTTGATTGCTGATTCTCTTCAAAGAGGACGAAGGATGCATTCCTTACATTTTGTTTGGTTGTGCCGGTCTTCGGCAGCCCGTAAAAAAAAAAAAATCAAGCTCTCCCTGAGCTTACAGGCAATCGATTTGGGGGTGTCCGTGTTGGCACGTGACGACCACACCACGACAGGTGTTCCACAGATTAAACGAAATCAGTAGTTCCCAAGACACTTGTTTCAAACCAAGGAAGGATAAAATATTTGATGTTACTCGAATAAACAAAAAACGGGCTCTATACACGCAACGTAGATTCGATCACCATTATTTTTGTGACACTTGCGGACTCCCTCTGTGGAGGTGCCTCCGAAAGCCAGAGCTTTTGACAACACTACAACCATGATAGCACCCGCAACAGCCACAGCGATGTGCACGAGAACGAACACCGCACCTTCTGGCCTCGTACAAAACTTGTGGCACTGGCGTCGGACCATCAAGCACGACCCTCGTGACGCGCCCCATCACCTTGGAAGGCCTGTCCACGAGAACCTTCACGAGACCCCGCTTCTCTGCTAGCGTAGTCCCCGTGATCGGAGGCTGCGGCTGGACGGCCCTCACCTTCGCGTTGCCCGTGTAGGACTTAACCTTCAGTTCGTTACAGACGAAAAATAGGGGAGGAGGGGGGTATGCTGTCTATCCACGGAAAAGCTGAATGTAGGGCAAATAGGGTTCCAAGAGATCAGAGTAGGAGTGGAGATGGAACGCTGGACTATTGTGCGGATGTTTGTAAACCCTACAATAAAACTGTCAGGCAGAGAAACGGGATAGTTGATGCCATGGATACGGAAAACTTGTAGCTTCTTACAGATGCTGGCCCTGGGCAGCGTGCGACATCGGAGTTGATTAAGGGAAGTTCGTATGTGCCTCAAAAATGAACGAGGGAAGTTCGTATGTGCCTCAAAAAGAACACCGCGAGGGTGTGATATCTTGACGTGATGATCTCCTAAGATACCCTTGGTCGTTCTGTAAGTCAACCGAGAACAAGCTAAGCAAACCGGATGACAACTCATCACCTGTGCTGCGTTCTGGAGGGTGTTTCGAAGCCGTAGCAGTTTTGACGTTTGGCGAGCTCCGTCCACCGATATGCCCACGACCTTTCCTATGCGCAGCTGTCACCGTTGATCGATGCAAAGTTTGTAAGGTCGGTGGATAAGAGGCCGATATTGACGGGTTTGTGGCAACAAAAGTGAGAGGATGATGGCAGGACCAGAAAGGGGAGCGAGACAAAGCCTGCTGCATCGTGTTGGCCAGGATAAACACGATAATCAAATAACAGAGCCTAGGCTGCTTCAGTTGAACTGTCTGTCAAGACGTGCGTTCGGTGAGGCAACATTAGAGGTAACATCATAACGCAACGTTCGAAGGACTGAACACGGCAGCGAGAGTTCGCAGGGACCGTGCTGGAGAATTCATAGGGTTGGTCAATATTGCCAACGCATGGCCGGAGTGCTTGTTCGATTCCTCGGATAAACCTTGAAGCGAACGGGTCCCGTGTAAAAGTACGCGCCTGGACAGGGAAGAAGGCTGTCCTCGAGATCTGGAGAACACACAAGCTTGAAAGAACTATTATATATTATATTATATATAATACACGTGATAGAATGACATCATCTCCCATGCACGCGGGTTGTCTCGCACCCGTTGGGGAAGCCAAAGGACCTGTTAAGTATTACTATGGTGAAACTCTAATTCAGACGACAACGCCAGCAACAATGCAAGCAGTGCAGACACCGGTGTCACACCTGCTCGACGAAGCCTCTCAGCCAATTCCTCTGGTGCAACTTTCTCCGAACGGTGAAGTTGTACCTGGCGATGATTTTCGCCAGGAGGCGGTAGATGGGGTGCCTCTGCTCTACAGTGGCGATGAACTTCTTGCGCTCCTTGTCGTACCTCAATGACGACGCCTCTTTTGCGAAAACCTCCTGCAGAAAACAAGTTGGAGCGGTGGGCACATTATTGCAGTCTTCTAACTAATGGGTGAAACCCCTCTCAATCGATGGCGATTTTATCAGCATTCCAATGGCAATGATGCTTATGGTGCACGAAACACCTTGGCGGAATGATCGCAAGGGCAACGGTTCGTTTGCCCACCCCTCTTGCCTCCCATGGGTGAGCACCGAACACAACGACGACGCGGTGGAGACATTAAGGCCGTGTTGGAACCTGCAACGAAGAAATGCTTGTGTCCATCAACGTCATAGGCGACCTTAGCGCGAGGGCCGGAGCAACAACACTGCCTCAATCCTCTCGCGTTGAGCGCATACTCAAGCTGTTTGTCAGGTAGTAGAGGGTTCGTGTCAGCGCCGGCATTGCGCCTAAAGATGCAGACCTGGTCCGCAATATCGCGCGAGCTGTTCATTCGCCCTACTAAACAGGCTACCGAGGATTTTTCCAAGACCGCAAACACATGTCAATAATCTGAGCTAATGCCACCCGAAACATGGTTCGACAGCGCGTTGGCAGCGACAGAGACTGACACGTGTGTACTGCACCCTGTGCGTAGGGGGGTAAACCCACTGGTGGTATACTGAATTGACGGGTGTATCGGATTGATAGAATCGTTTAGGGGTCAAAGCCTCTGTTGCAATGGGTTGCTCTCATGCCATTTGATACTAAGCCGACCATGTGCGAGTACGTTCAAATGTGCCCGAGGCCTCCGATTCGTAAACTGCCCCGAAACAACTTCCTCGAATACCGTGGTTAGAGGTATGCGTTTTCTGAATGAAGCCGTGGGCTCTTTGAGGATAATACTCTTGGTCAAGTTCATCTTGGTTTACTCATATCTGCCAGTTTTGCTGACATCCGAAGTCTTGCGAAAGCACATCCCTTGAATTTAAAACGTTCACGCTCGCTCAAGAAAAGCTGAACAGTCGCGGGGGTGGGGAGGGATGCAAATCCATGGAAAATAGCCAAGTAGAACCACAGACCCTTCTCCCCAAACATACGGACATTCTTGAACATACCTGTATTTCCTCCGCGCGATATCGTCTTCTCATGACACCAACATCCCAGTTCTTGCACATGAGCACGCTCTCCGCCACCCGTACCTCCCCAGCAGCCTTCCCTGCCCTCCCCCCGGCGGCCGTTCCCCCCTGCCCACCTGTCGCCCCCCCCGAATGCAGGGTGCAAGTCTTGCCGCTCCCCTTGCTCCAGCAGTTGAAGCAAATCTCTTTCACCCGCTGAGCATCCTCGCCCTTGCCCTCCTGGTCCTCGCTCGTAGCCACTCCTGTCCCAGCAGCCTTCCCCTCTCCCGCCGCCGCCTGCGGCTTCGTCTGTGACCCTGTTACCGTATTCCCAAAAGTCCCGGCGTTCTGGTTGGTGCTAGCGCTAGCGGTTGCATCGCCCCCGCTCGTCGCGGGCCGTGCGCCATCACCAGCTGCTTCGGCAGATGGCAGGAACCCCGGCGGCGTGAGATCCCTAATCGCGAGCCCTCCTAGCGCGCTCCCTCTGGTCCCTTCCTGCTTAGCCCTCGCCGCCGCCACCCCCGCTGTCTTGGCTCGTCTCCTGCTGCCACCCCCGCCTTTTCTGCGGCCAAGCGCAGCGGTCATTAGGGACACCATCTTGCGGCCGCCGCCGTCAGCGGAGAAGAGGGGAGGGTTCCTGTCCTCCTCCAGTTTTCCCGACGGATAGGGTGCGTTCCGATCTAGTTGTAGACCCTTTGCTGTTGCCTCGGGGCCGCCATTGGCCTCCTCCGGGTTCTCTGCCATCTCACCCGGAGTGTTGTTGTTGTTGTTGTTGTTGTTGTTGTTGTTACGACGGCGTTTTTGGCTTGTTCGGGAGCTGGTACTGCCACTGGCGGGGGCGGCGGTAGCCGCTCGTCTCCTGGCTTTCGATGGAGACGAGGCGGTGGCGGTTGCTGCCTCTCCGTTGGTGAAAGCGGTGGCGATTTTCCGGCCGGTGTAGTCGGCGAGAAGGGTGGACACAGAGTCGAACTTGGTCACTCGCAGAGCCTTGGCTATAGTCCTGGGTGAAAAGAAACAACGCCAACGCCGAGTTGATGAGAACCAGTTACTCTCAACGGCAGCATAACGGCCGTTTGAAACGTGACCGGACTTCAGGAGTCCCAACTTGAGCACGACTCAGCACCCACTCCGGCACAACCTTGACACCAGCTACGGCAACAGGACACGGTTACTACAAGATTAAGCAGACCTCGACACCACCACTCCGGGAACCAAATCGCTAGAAGATCTAGTTGGTTCACCTGCGGAGGCGAATGTTTGGCGTTCCGTCTGCCAGGAAGAATCCTCTGGTGGTACCGTTGGCACCGTCACCGGAGTCTTCTGATTGATCGGATTCCGCCTCATCTTCCGCTCTGCGGGCGAGGCCAAGGCCGGTCTCCTGCCGTTTATGCATTGTTACACGACCAATGACACGGTAACCGAACAGAACACCGCACACGCTGTGTAGCTGTCTGAAGCACCGTTTGTGGAATCTGTATACGCATCTCTTTTCCGCAGCATCAACCTTTGATGTGTGACACAACAGGAGGAAAATAACCCAGGCCGTTCACATGCCACAAGCTACACCGCTATTCTAGTCTCTAGTCTCTCTCTCTCTCTCTCTCTCTCTCTCTCTCTCTTTCTCTCGATGACCATCGTCCATGGTGGAATTCCGACCGTCAGTTTCAGGAAACGTCGACTTATACTCACACGATAGAACAATGTCGGAACACACAACAAACATCGGTGGGTTCCGCGAAGAATCCATTCTGAGTTTTGAAACCCGACCTCCTCTTCTGCCACCCGTGCGAGGCAACATCTATCTTTCTTCCAACGCACGAGAAACCATCGACGATACGCCTACGAAAGAAACGCCGAACGATAAACTGGGCAACTGTAGGATAGCACTCTGGGAAACCTTTGTCCTGAGACCTCACTCGCTCTCTCAACAGCCCTGCGGCCCAGGCTATGGCCAGTCTTTCGAGCCGTGGTGTCTCGAGAACAGAGCGTCACAGCGCACGGCTACTTCGGCCTTGATGTGGGTCCGTTTAAGTTGCATGCCTGTATCGTGCTCGAAGCAAGCTGCACACTGTCCCATGCTGGGGGGTGGGCTACCCAATCCTAGCAATTATAAACGCCGTGATGAGTGTTGTCTCAGAGTGTATCGCCACCGAGTCGTACACGGGACAGAATCACCTTTCAGCACAACAAACCGCTTGGATGTGAACAGCTTCACCGTAGCTTCTAAGAATGGAGACATGATTTCGTTTGTGTTTTTTTTTCTGCACAGACCTTCACGTGCCCAGTAGTCCGATCTGTTACCACAAGATTTGACAGCATTCGTAAAACGAAGTGCTCTTGCCCCAAGCACTGTGAAATTACCACCCACCACCCGGCGTGCTCCGTCCCGGCTTTGTAGGGATGCGAGGTCAATGGTCTAACGACTACGGCATGCACGACTATGAGTACACCCCACCACTGGCATGACGGGAAACCCTTCCTGTGCTTGCGCCTACTTTCGCACATTAGGCGATCGTTCAATCCAATGGGTGCGCTTTGCTTATATTGCTCGCAAACCATGCGAACGCAGGGGCAATGTTCGGAATACAACGGGCATCATGAGCACAAACGACGAAGTAGTCAAACCCGGACCCTACGTAAGTTAAGCAATATGCGAAACGAGCAAGCATTACGTGCGGCAGACACCGGGGAAAATTTACGGTACCTCGAATCGGTCGTCGGGAAGCATCTCCATCATCTCATCCTCAGCAAGGAAAGGGAAGGATTCCTCTCCATCCTCCCGCCCCTCCCCGCTACCACCCTCCTGCTCTCTTTCAACCCACGCCTGCTGCTTGTCCCGCCACCTCCCCCCTGGCGTCGTCTCCGTGCTCCCCCGTGACCCACAGGAGGGCGCCAAGCCGCCGCTCTTGCCGGGCGTGGCAACAGCCGCAGTATCCAGAACGCTCAGGCGCGACCCCTTCATGAGAGGCGGCAGCGTTGCTGCGCTAGCGTGGCCGTTTCTGGTACCACCAGGGCCACTTCTCGATGGTCCTACGGACACCTTGGTGGGGGGTGTACCCCCAGTCTCCTGCGGTGACGAAATATAGTCCTTCCCTCCCGTCCCTGCGGAGGACTGGGCTCCACCGATCATGCTCCCTTCGGTTGTCGAGTCGACGCCCTTTGGGAGAGGGCGTTTTTTGGAGGGTGATGGGGGCCCTAGGGCGGGGAGGGTCCTCACCTGGAGGCCGGGATGAGGGTGGTCGGCGTAGGAAGGCGGGAATCGGGAAGCGTGATTGGAGGTAGGGTCAGGGTTAGGTGGCCTGTTTCGATCATTGACTGAAGCTATTCTTGGGCGACACACTCTTTTGGTAACACACTTCACTAGCGGTCGATGCACCTATGAGTACTTGAAGATTTCCAGGGGGAGGGTGGGGTAGAAACTCCGTCGCTTATGTACCGGTAAAACATGAAAACGGGATATGCTTAGACGCGGGTTCGATAGCATGAACCTCAAACCTGTAAAACGAACGTTTTTTGGCGCGCCATACGACACCCTATACTGAGCCTCAGATTTCTCCAAGCTAACAACAAGATTGATTGTCATCATCGACAGCGTGCGTTTATCGTGTTCGCGGTACCGTGACACACCAGTCGACGAATGTGATTCGGGAGCGCCGAATCCTCCTCACGAAACATGCACCCACCCCTCAATGTTGTTTTCAATATCATACTTGTAGTGTCTACCTCAAACCCCAGTCCAATTCCTGTTTTCTTGCAGTCGTTACCTCGAAGCACAAGAAATAATCCCACACCCTCCTTGTCACGCTGTCTGTGCTTAGGTCGGTTCGAATGGTTGCACCGGTCTCATCTCTTGCTCGGAGACGAGACCAAACACCACTGCTGTTGTCACCATCGTCTCGGAGGTACCCGGCAAATTACCTTGTCCGAAGGCGTTATCGTGCCCAGGAGGGAGTCAGGCCTGTTCCATTGGCTTTTTCCCGTAAGGGGGTTGAAGTACCATGCCTCACCGCGGTTGTGATCTCGCACCTGGGACACAATCGCGGCCGGACATGGGGTGTTGGATAGGTGGCGTACCAACGAGATGCAGCTTGTACGAAGCTCACGGTGGGTAGTACACCACATCCACGACGACGTCGGAGATAGGGGAGCCGTTGACGTGCACGGCGCACCAATCCTCTCTATATGGAAAAACACAGGGATGCTCACGGTGTGGAACCGCACCGCGGTGCAGTTTTATCATATCACGGTGCGGTCCCGTGCGGTTTTAACCATATCCAAAATCGACTCTTCGTGGAACACGTTAGTTTTAGTCCATTGAAATGAGGCCGACACGACAAATCCCGCGACTTGCGGTCAGAAAACCCGAAAACTCCAGACAAAGGAGAAGCTACTGATCACTGACTTTATTTGCCCAGTCACCATACGTTCCTACAGCACGAGCTACATTCCTCACTTGCTTGTACTACTCCTGTTGGAATATATGTGCGAATATGTGAACATGCCAGAAAAAAGGAAGAAAAAATGTGGCAGCACCACCAGGCAGGCGGCTCATGCTCGCCACGCGCTACAACCCGCGAATGCGTTGACGGCGGTGCATTGCACGCTGCAAACTGTCTTCGGGGTAACCCCAGCTTGCGCGGCATCAGCAGCACCAGCAGAGCAGTGGTAGAACCACCGGGAGAAGGAGATGCATGTGTGGCGACCACCTCTGCAAGAGGCTGGTCGCCATCATCGTCGGGGGGTTACTCCATCAGAGACGAGCGGAGTTGTGTACGGAGCGTATCGCAGCCGTGGCGGTGTATGTGTGTGGTGTGGGGACACGTGTGTGCTGGGTAAAAAAAAAAAATCAATGTTCAATGTTCCTGGTGCGTGTCTGCACGAAAAAAACGTGCCTTACCTGCGGTATTTACCGCGGTTTACTGCGGTTTTGGCTACGGGGTGGGGTAAACCGCACCGTAACAAAACCGCAACTACGGTTATTTGTGAATCCTTTCGGTGCGGTGCGGTGCGTTTTTTTCAACTCGAAATATGACGGCGCGGTGCGGTGCGGTTTTGTCGTACCACGGTGCGGTGCGGTGCGGTTTTGTGCATCTCGATATTTGACAGTACGGTGCGGTGCGGTGTTTTTTATCTCGAAATGTCACGGAGTGGTGCGGTGCGGTTAAACCGCACCGCACCGCACCGCACCGTCGTGAAAAACCGCACCGTGAACATCCCTGGAAAAACCTATTCGGCGGATACATGTAGCTTCTGAACGTCGTACGATCACTATTGAATAACACGTCTACAACCGTTTTTCTTCCTCCTGGCAATCGTTGTGGGGCCTGCCTTTTGCCACCACGCTTTGGCGAGGGGGTGACAACGGGCTGAATTTGACGATAAGCTGACGAAGTCAACACAGCCACCGCCAGGGACAGCGGTAACGGCTACGATAACGATAGCGACTACGACGGTGCACTTGCCTCCACCCACTCCATGCGAGCCTCTCCGGTGAGCCGCCGCACCTCTGCATTCAGAGCGGCTCTTTTCCTACCGATGTGGCCGCGAAAAACCCGCTGAACACTCTCTGCGGCTAGGTCTGACGCGAGCCACTTCCGTCGAGCGAAGCGGACGAATTCCAGCCGTTTGGCCTCTCGACATATCTTCCTTTGCTCCTCTTCGATGCTAGCCAATCTGGAAAAGGTGGTATTAATCACACGGAATGCGGTGGAGGTGTTTTGAGAAATTTGGCCGTATCGACGAAGTGGTTGCGGTCACAAGGGCCAGTCGCGGGGCCTGCCGTTGGTTGGGCAGGGAGTGGCGGAGCTTGCTTCGCCTGGGGTGGAGGAAGCTGGAGTTGGAACTACCTCTGCCGTGATTGGAGCGTTGATCGTGTGAAAATTGAGCAATACTAATGTTCTCCTCGAGCCATCCCCAACAACCGCCAGGCGCAAGGCAGACGCTCGTATCGCTATGTGAAGCTCTAGCTAGATGTCGGCGAGGGCATAGAACCTTCACTATGTTTATGCCCAATCGGCCTGTCAAGATTCTTCACCGAGTTATTTTTCCGTTCCTTAACCATGCACAAGGGGCACACGTGGCGCGGAAGTCTACCACTCCCGCGGCACTTGAGACGGACAGAATCCGCCTCTTGGCGCGTAGTACCGCATTCGGAAAACAATGCGCGACGCCTGCCGCATGTGCTCAGAAACTGAGCGGCGTGCTCCACCCCGGTATTGAATGCCTACAAGGGTCGCAAGGCCTCTATATGAGCATGGCATGGTCAATCACGACAACGCGGCCTCCTCCCCACCCAGCATCACGCCCTCCACCGAGTTGCCCAGGTCTTCTTTTGCACGAGAAAAATGTGCAAAGTACACACATGATCGTACCTGTCACGCTCGGCCCCGAGCTTCTGCAACCCTTCCCTGAGCCCCCCGTTTTTGCCTGGGACAAAGGCGTCGAACCCGTCACGCACCCGGCCTTCCTCGTCTTTGAAGCTCAGCGATCGAAATCGGCCCTCGTACTCGCCAGCAGCCGCTAGAGCCGTTGCCTGGAAGAAGCGTGCAGGAAATTCCGAGAATGCTCAGTTCAAACAGAAACAGAAGGAGGAGAAACAGACGTAGGCAATCATGGAAGCCTGTTTTGCGCTCAAATAAGTGTATCGTGTCCTGTTCTAACGTACCCGGTTCCCCCGTAGTTCAGGATGGTGTATCAACATCGGTGAACGCGCAGCCTAGTCTAGAAGGGTACACCAGAACGAGTAACGCGTTCACGACCCATAAATAGATGCACGACACAGCAGGGAAAATCTCAAACACGCCCATCAGGTGAAAAACGCACACGGTGTGTAGTCCCGGCAGCTAAAAAAGTCCCCCGCATTATGGTTCACAGAGAAGTGGTACCCGTCGGAGAAGGCGTGTGCAACCAAGCTTGTAATAGAAGATAGATCACGAAGTGTTGAAATGGCGGCCAGCATTGCACAACGGTACAGTCAGTGTCCCCAACTCCTTGAGAAACGATATTGCGAACGGTTGTCAAGAGTGCTCCAAGAAGTATTGCGTTCGACTTTGGTACCCGTTCTGTAAACGGACTTCAGGCTTAGTTGAGCGAGTGCACGATGGGGCCGCAAGCAAGCAAACGTTGATGGGTTGGTTCGAAGGCCTACAATTGGTACTTTTTTTGTTTTTCCTCCCATGTCTCCGGTGTTTGCCATCGGGGCTGGGTTTTCGTCGCTTGGCAACGACGTTGTAAAACATGCCGCCCCCCCCGGTGTATATGCACCAGAAAATAAATTAATTCATACGCAGCTGTCATCCGTACGCAAGGAAGTAAGCACAAGATGCCGAACACCCTTAGCAGGATGCAGCGCACCCTTCATGCGACTCGCCGAATATCTCACGGCGCTTCGCGCTTGGTGATGTGAGAGCCTGGTCCGGTGAGAACCCGGCGTGCTCCGTCCCGGCTTTGTAGGGATGCGAGGTCAATGGTCTAACGACTACGGCATGCACGACTATGAGTACACCCCCCCCCTCCCCCCCCCCCCCCCCCCCCCCCCCCCCCCCCCCCCCCCCCCCCCCCCCCCCCCCCCCCCCCCCCCCCCCCCCCCCCCCCCCCCCCCCCCCCCCCCCCCCCCCCCCCCCCCCCCCCCCCCCCCCCCCCCCCCCCCCCCCCCCCCCCCCCCCCCCCCCCCCCCCCCCCCCCCCCCCCCCCCCCCCCCCCCCCCCCCCCCCCCCCCCCCCCCCCCCCCCCCCCCCCCCCCCCCCCCCCCCCCCCCCCCCCCCCCCCCCCCCCCCCCCCCCCCCCCCCCCCCCCCCCCCCCCCCCCCCCCCCCCCCCCCCCCCCCCCCCCCCCCCCCCCCCCCCCCCCCCCCCCCCCCCCCCCCCCCCCCCCCCCCCCCCCCCCCCCCCCCCCCCCCCCCCCCCCCCCCCCCCCCCCCCCCCCCCCCCCCCCCCCCCCCCCCCCCCCCCCCCCCCCCCCCCCCCCCCCCCCCCCCCCCCCCCCCCCCCCCCCCCCCCCCCCCCCCCCCCCCCCCCCCCCCCCCCCCCCCCCCCCCCCCCCCCCCCCCCCCCCCCCCCCCCCCCCCCCCCCCCCCCCCCCCCCCCCCCCCCCCCCCCCCCCCCCCCCCCCCCCCCCCCCCCCCCCCCCCCCCCCCCCCCCCCCCCCCCCCCCCCCCCCCCCCCCCCCCCCCCCCCCCCCCCCCCCCCCCCCCCCCCCCGGTGTTTTCCATCGGGGTTGGGTTTTCGTCGCTTGGCAACGACGTTGTAAAACAAGCCACTTCACTTCGTGAACTCGGCAACCAGGTTACCGTTTTTTTTTTTTTCCTCCGTTTATTTTTTTTGGGCGGTAACCATAATGATGGTTGAGTAGATCATGTTGTGCGGGGTGAACCCTCACTCCGCGCAAGGGGGATGATCGCACCACGTTGTGTTAAAATGGTCAAGCACCCTCGAGGCAGTTACACAGTGCTTACAACTGTCTCTGGAAGTGAAAGCACCAGAAAATAAATTAATTCATACGCAGCTGTCATCCGTACGCAAGGAAGTAAGCACAAGATTCCGAAAACCCTTAGCAGGATGCAGCGCACCCTTAGTGCGAGTCGCCGAATATCTCACGGCGCTTCGCGCTTGGTGATGTGAGAGCCTGGTCCGGTGAGAACCCGGCGTGCTCCGTCCCGGCTTTGTAGGGATGCGAGGTCAATGGTCTAACGACTACGGCATGCACGACTATGAGTACACCCCCCCNNNNCTGCCTGAGGTATTTTTATCGCGAGAAGGGTACAGCAGTCCCTTCCCTCGCGACTTACGAAGTCGACTATGGTTTACTAACAACGAGCTTTGCAGCGCGACGCTTTCATCCTAGACCAGGATATATTTCGTGAGAAAAAAACTCACTCTGCCGGGACTCGAACCATGACCTGGCCCTTAGCAGGCTGCGAGGTTACCCTCTAGACCACCGGGGCGACCCGTACACGTTTGAATCTAATAGCCATGGACACAACCATTACGAAGTAGATAAGACGGGCTATAGCAACAATCCATGGCCTCGAGACTGCACTGATAAATCACTCATCGTTTCCTTCTCGTCTTCCTTTTCACCTGGGGAACTTTTGGAGTTGCTTGAGACGGAGGTACGTCACCAGCAGGACGATCCACAAGGGGCTGGGTGCGTGGAGTTTCCTCTCCCCTGTCCAATACTTCGACCGTGGTCTTGCCCATACCTACGGGTTCATTTCAATCCGAGCCATGGTGCAGAGTTCAACTCATTCGTCGACACAGTATCGACGTGTGCAACTTCGTGGTAACACGATTCATGTCGCACGCAATTGTTGCGTAAAAGCAGCAAGAGACAGGGAACCAATATGCAATCAACTATAAATAGATTCCGAACAGCAAAATGTGGGCGGAGGGTCTTCGGTATACCCTACGAACGTTTGATTCGTAGTTGTATGCAGAAACTATATTTTTCAGCAGAACAGACGTTGAACGAATTGTTATCGCTTAGGATTCCATCCGTGGCGCTCGGTTGGCCGAGGCGATATTCATGCGCAATGTGGGGAGAGCTCGGCCAACCTCTTGTAGACGAGAGGACACCATCCGCCATTTCTCGGACAATTCCTCCAGGGGTGCGCACCAAGCGGAAGTTAGGCTGATTCCAACGTTTCCACGCGATGCTCGCTTACACGTGTGATATGTTGCCTCCTTACCCATGTCGGATGCTTGTAAGTCCGAAGATCCCGTTTCGTTTCCTCTCGGCCATCCGAATGTGTCCAAGGTATAAGAGAACCTTCTCGGCCCATAGGCCGAGTCGTGCCCTTGCGAACCACCAGGATTGTCTCGACTAGGACGTCTCCTTCTTCGTCTTCTGCGATAGGTGGTGTTGCCGCCAACTCTTCTTCGGGCACCACTCTCCTCTGCTGCGGTGGCTTCCCCTGAGCAAGTATGACCCAAAGTCCGGCCTTCGAATAAAACACAAGTCACGCACATCGAGCAGTTCCGAAACTGTGCGGGTATACAACATTTCTTGAAGGAGACGTTGCGTGTGTATTTTGCTCTTTGTGACGATGGCTGCGTCGCAATAGTCTATTGTCTATGCATAGCACGGGGATTTACAGTCTGCAAGATCGCATTGTACCTGGTTTCTTGCAGTGTAACAGTCTACGGTGGGGCTCCTTCAGTAGTGCCTGCCAGATTCACCGGCACCATACATTTGTTACAGGACACCCAGAACTATCCAGAGACTGAGACAACATGAAAATCCATTCGTGTCACGCGATTTCACCGGCACTGCTGTGTACCCTGCAGCAGTGTCACATATTGAACCGTCTCTACTGAGGGACCCCCACTGCATGTCTTGTGTACGACGGTACGCACCACCCTTGCCACCAAGATTTCCGGAATTTCGCTGGCCACGTCGGCTTGGTTGCTGCTGTGGCTGCTGCTCCGGCCGCCTTGAGCCACTACTGTCCCCGCGGATAGTGTGCAGCAGGCGCATAGTCTCGTCCTAGAGCACGCATACGTTCGAACGGAGACCCAAAAATAGCGGCCATGTACAGTCCATGGCAACACATGGTGAAAGGAGACTCCCTGCTGAGCATACTCCCTATTGTTTTCGACCACGAACCAAACCCATGTTTGTTGAATGGATGCCACCGCAGTCTCATACTAACACTGCCCAAATAAAACCGACGACGGGGCGCAAAAAAGGCCAGATGCATATGGTTGATGAGTATAGAAGTAATGGTGCTAACACCTGAAATATCACACGCTCTTTTTTTCACGATTGCATATCCTTCACAAGACGGGTCTGGGACAAACACGTGATTACAGGGATTACAACCCTGAGGCTAATACCGAGGTTCAACAGCTCAAGCGGGTTGAAGCATAGCGGATATGCTGTACACCTTAACACCAACCATGCAGATGGTGTTGGGAATGCACATGGATCACAGCAGAAACATGAAGGGCTGGGTGCGGCAGGGTACGACGCCTGCAGACTCGAACGCGGTGTTCGTTTCAAAACAGCAACGAGCACACGGACCCACCTGCAACTGCTGGAGCTCTCCACTCCAGCCCGCAGGACGGATCGTATTCGCTGCGTTCGCCGCCATTTCTTGTGTATGAGTTCGAGTGCGGCGTTTGCGACCCTCGGACGTTGACTTATTTACATCAAGCTACGAGATCAGGTGCTACATAATTACGCCGCACATTGGACGAGAGCAGGGCAGCGTCCAATAGGGTGAGCTCGTCACCTGCAATCATGTTGCACCCAACTCGTGTTCCCCGATCCCACATTGTGTTCTATATCGTATAGAAAGGGACGGAAGACAGGAAACACGCGACCCCAGCCTGTGCTCACAGGGCGGTGTTTTGTTCCTGCTCGTCAAAGTTTGAGGCTAGCTAGAGGAGCGAGGGGGCCCGGCCGTTTTCGGAGAACCAATAAACAAGCCGTCCGAACCAAGACCGAACTCTCGGCTCTTCCGCTTCGGGAAATCGTGCGGCACGATTGCATCTCTCTCTCTTTTCCTGCTCATGGAACCTGTTCCCACACAATCACCTTCGAGCACCCCACTCGGTGTGCCTCCTTCCATACCAGTACCATGCTGGAGAGGTGTGCATCCCTGGGTGGTAGCCTGCGCATGCCGGTTTCTTCTCTTCGAGCCGGCCAAAGCTCGAGGCGTCCACGCCAGCTTAGTCATCACCACCGTTCTGCCGCATCTTT